TAACTCTCAATCCTTTAAATATCCCATAACCCTTGAGTCCTCACAAGCATAGCATTCCTGATGCCACAATATATTCTGTTAAAGGGCCCAATATTGCAAACCTTTATTTCTCTTAAATGGATCTTATCCAACCTGTCCCACTGAAATCAATAATCCCACCCTCATGAATAAGGATTACTTGAAGAAGTAAGTGTTGCAAGATGGGGCCTTACACTATGAACAAAATCAACAGTAATTAAACTTCAGAGGGGTAGCCCAGTTAGTCTGTAACTGGAAACACTTAAAAAAACAATGAATAGTCTATCATCACCTTAAAGACTAACAATACATGTAGATGGTATCATGAGCTTTTGTGAGTACAACCCACTTCTTCAGATGTTTTTTACATTTTTCCAGTAATGAAACTGTAATCTAAGTTGAAGTATTTACTAAAACGAAGCTATTCTCATTTGAAACAGAGAAAATACTCAAATATGCTCAAGACTTGCATTAATTATTAAAACCACTTATGAGATCTTTTCTTTTTATTTTTTTCTCTATTTCCCCTATTTGGTAGTGAGTGTGTGTGGGGAGGAGGGATCAAATGTTCCTGTGCAGAAATTCTCTCTCACAGGTTTACTCCAATAAAAAGCAGTAATCTATCATCTTTCAAGGGAAACTTTAAACCTGAGGGCCTGATCATTGGTGCTCACCAAATATTCTATAGCATTTTTTCACTAAATACATTTCTGCCCTTTACCACTGGCAGTTGACTACCTAAAATCCCCCTTCAGTAGGAAATATTATTCTTCACCACAGCCTCCGTATGCTGTTGCCTACTATGACTTGCACACAGTGACTCTAGATTCATATTGTCAAAATGTCTGTATTTTTATGGTGGATACAATGAACCATGAACTATATACAGAGGACGTATTTGGGACAACACATCCCTGTGGAGCATTCAGACTGACATAGGCATGTAAAATACACAGAGGACATATTTGGGACAACACATCCCTTTGGAGCATTCAGACTGACATAGGCATGTAACCATTTTCAATTACAATTTATCCACCATCCACTGTGAGCTTTGAACTTTGCAGATAAAACAAAAGCTGTCCCAAAGAGTTTACACTGCAGGTAAAAAATGGACAATAGGCAACAAACAATAAAGAGATTGTGAAGCAGAGAAAGTTATGCCTATCTTAGTACTATAATTACTTCATTTTTACATTAATTTTTATTAATATCTGGATGGCTTTATTCTTCATTTTGAGGGTAATTAGGATTTATAGATTTGTTAAAAGGAAAGGAGGGATTTAGAGGAAGAGCACAGAGGCCTGATAGACCAAGTGAGACAAGATATCCATGCATGGAGTTGAAAGTAAGGAAAAAAGAAAGAAGGGAATGAATAAACAGCAAGGGGCATTCATGGGAGAGAGGGAAATAGAGATAAAAGTGGGTAGGTATGAAGGCACGATTTAAGTTGTTCAGGCCCTAAAAATCTAGGACAAGGAGCTTAAATCAGATGCAGCAGGTGAAAGGAAATCATGGAAGAATTTAAAGACCTGGTTAGATGTGGTCAGAATATCTGGCAAGAGGACTAAGTTTTGAGACCATATGTTAGACTCGTTAAAGGTGAATGAGTGATAATTGCAGTGAAAGATGATCCAGGCCTGCATATGCAGTGGGAATTAGGGGGCATGAATGGAATTGCACATGCAAATGCTGATGTATGCACCTTTTATGTGGGATTAGAGCTTCCTATTTATATGCCTGTATTTTGGGGGTTAAAACCTGTAAAGCACTTTGGGATCCTTTTTTGGAAGGGAGAGGAAGATACTAAATGAATGTAGAGGTTTTATTATCATTAAATATTATTATTATTTATTTTGGTGTTTTACTTTTTGCATAGGTTACACATTTGTTTGATAATGGAGGGACTGTCTTCTTTGCTATTTTTATGGCAATATGGGGTAAGTCCATTTTCCTTCCTTTTACAGTTGCCTATTCATTTTAGAGTGGTTTGGAGCTTAATATAATTTTAAACAAGTAATATCCATGTTTATTTATTTTTCCTATTTTCACCAAATCGGTGTTTGTACTACTGGGAAATTTAAAAAAAATTCCACCACTAATTTAAGTTCAGAATGCAATGACTGTAGAAAAACAAGGCCTTTAATCCTATTATTTATGTCACCCGAGCAGAGCCTCCTTGGGGGTCCACTCACACAGGTTTAGGGCCAAAATCAGTTTCCAATATAGAACGCTGTAAGATTATCAGATTTTAAGCTTGTAGGAGAAGGTTATTTAAAGTGAATTAAAGGCAGGTCAGAGAGTTTAGTGTTAACTATTAACAAGAAGATTTCAAATACAGGCAGTCCCCGGGTTACATGGATCTGACTTACATCAGATCCCTACTTACAAATGGGGTGAGGCAACCCGGCACTAGCTGCTTCCCCCCAGCAGACCAGGGAGACGCGAAGCTAGCGCCCCCCGCCCCTCCCCAGCAGACCAGGGAGACGCGGAGCGGCTTTTCTCAGCAGACACCTCAGCTTGAGAATAAAGGACTGAGGGAAGTGAGGTGTGGGAGAATAAAACTGAGCTCTGGAAAAATGTTTGGCTAGAGTTTCCCCTACAATATGTACCAGTTCCGACTTACATACAAATTCAACTTAAGAACAAACCTACAGTCCTTATTTTGTACGTAACCCGGGGACTGCCTGTAATTATTCTCTTCTTGGAAGGCCTTTGCATTCACTATGACATCATGCTCAAGACCAGGAGGCATCAAACAAACAATATATGCTCAGAGGCAACTTAAGAACAGGCATTACCATCAAGTAACCTTTCTTTGATAAAAGAAGACAAATGCAGTTATTGCAGCACTGAGAGCCTGATCCAGTGAGCTTTTGCTGCAGTTGATATGGGTTTGCAATGGGAAGTCAGTAGCAATATTAGAGAGTATAAAGATTAGCATGCTATTAATATCTGAGATAGATGGATAGATAGTTCTTCCTGTGAAAGTTCTGCATATTTGTACCCTGGGACTTTAACATTGGTCCCCACAGAGCGTGGCCTCTATTCAAACCAATACTATATCATTGTGGAGAGGATATTTATGTACAGGGATTTCTCCCTCTCCCAG